GTTTGTGACACATGGAGCTCTGATCAACGCACCTGTCGTTGTCATCATCTCCACCCTTGCGACGGCGGCCACCATCGTCATCATCGTCACCGCCCTTGCGACGGCGGCCACCGTCGTCATCATCGCCTCCACCCCTGCGACGCCGACTGCCATCGTCATCATCACCGCCCCTGCGGCGGCGACTACCGTCGTCATCATCGCCTCCACCCTTGCGACGCCGGCTGCCATCGTCATCATCACCGCCCTTGCGACGGCGGCTGCCGTCGTCATCGTCGCCTCCACCCCTGCGACGCCGACTGCCATCGTCATCATCCCCACCCTTGCGGCGGCGGCCGCCATCATCGTCATCGCCGCCACCTCTACGGGATCTGCGCGATCGGCTTGACCAGGACCTACGCGATCTGCTTGAGTAGGACCTGCGGGAGTCTGTGTCCAAAGAGCGGTTGCCACGATATTGGAGCAAACCAATGGTTTCCGTCTCCTGCAGGAGTGAGGGGCAACTGCCTGCCCTGCAGTAATGTGTCACTGCGTGGAGCAGCTTGGATCGGTGTCCCTCACAGCGGTTCACGCATTCGCCCCAGTCTTGGATGAGGTGGCCCGAGCAAATCACATTGCAGAGCAGGGGGCCATTGCACTGGTTCGGCTTGTTGTCGAGGTCCGGGTCCCGGTCACCGTAGCTGCGTGCAACCTCCGGCCTGTCCTCGGGGTCTGAGGCGCACACATCCTGGACGCAGTAGACAAGCAGTCGCTGCTCGAGGGTAGGCTGCTCGCCGGTCTGCGGGTAGGTCACACGATTGAACCACATGGCCTCCTCTAGGCAGGTGTCCACGGCGTCCAGGTACGAGAAGTTGAAGCCGGCGGCGTCCCGGGCATCCGCGCAGGTCCTCTCCACGGGCTCGCCCGGCCTGAAGAATCACGCAAGGAAGCCATCGCCCAATGCACACTGCAACATGCACGCAGAAGGGCAATTAATTACACAGCTACAGCTAGACGACAAGGTGAAAGCCCAAGTTGCGCAGTGTTGTCCGGCTTCTTGCAGACGCAGTGGGTGTCCCTGCCAATGCTGTCGCAAGTCTTCGGGGTACCGTCGCTGTTGAAATTCTTTGGATCATCAGCCGCGCTGAGCCCGCAAGTGTTCTTCTCATCCGGGAACCTCCCAGTGCCAAGATCATCGCGTACGTCCACGCACTCGGCGCCCCGATCCTGTCCAATTCTGGGTATGCTGGCCTCTCAGCCCACTTTATGCCTCCTAGACCCTGCCTGGCACCAGTCTCTGCAGCTTCTGCCAGGGAACTTGGGGCCATTGTTCAGCAGTACGAAAGCCACCTGGCAGACATCGCAAACAGGCAACAAGACAGAA